GGAACATTAGCAAGATTAAACATTTATCATATAAAACATGTAATCTAATTTACACAACAATTTTATATTTCATCAAAAATTGCTAATTGACATCTTATAAAGGAAGAAGATATTGCAAATGAGCTTGCTGTCCTATTTGGACAGAATTGAATAGAAGAGTAAAACAGTGGACTATTCAACTTTATAGGCATGTAGTGCATGAAGTAAGCTTTCTATCCACATATAGAACATTTATATTGAACATGTATAACATAGGATATGTCAAAACAATCTATGGATGTCGTATTAAACACCAAACAACAACTACACATCATGTGCAAAAAGATTTATCAAATAAAATAGTCCATGACACATGATGCATACATGCTCACTTAGTTTCTTATGAACATATATCATGTTCTTAACCTTAGGGCTAAAGAACATGCTAGATGTGTTAGGTTGAGGTCCATAAGATGTTGAAGCAATGTTGCCAACATTTATAGTTCTCTTAGGAACCCACTTAAGATTAGTTCCTTTTAGGCCATATTTCTTAATATTACATTGATATACAAGATGATCACTCATGCAACAATATGAACATTTCTTAAATGGTAGTTTAGACACGAACCTAGGGGATACTGGTTTGTCTTTCTTGGTTGAGCAAAGGGAGGTTTTTGAAAACCAAGTCCATGTTTAGTAGTCTCAACCCTTTGTCTACCAAGGAGGACATTCAAGTTGTCTTTCACACTAGTCATTCTATCAACCATTACCTTCAAACTATCCACTTCATTATATAATTCAACACATTTAGTACATGAAATAGTGGAAGGGGGTTCACATCATCACATGATCCAACAAGACAATTCATGAAAAGATTTTTATTTTTAAGATCCTCATTGTCTTTCATTAGATCATTTACAATGGTGGTTAAACTATCAACTTTGTCTTGCAAGCAATTTTTCTCATTTTTAATTTTCTTAACCTTAGAGGTTAATTTTTCATTTTCAACTTGCAAACACTTATAAGCATACAACTAATCATCATATGATGGACCAACCATAGAAGAGGTATCACAAGAGAAACTAGAACTACACTTGAATTAGAATCACATACCGAATCGGAGTCCCACATAGAACTAGAAGAGTGGCTAGAATATACCTCAATTTGATCTTTTTCAATTTGTGTCATTAAGCAAAGGTTAGCTTGTTCACTTGATGAGGAGCTTATAGTACTTGAAGTGTCATCCGAAAATGCCATGTAAGCTCTCTTCTTTTTTCTCTTACCTTTCTTGAACTTGCGTTGTCATATTTATTCTTTTTGTTTGGGCAGTCCTTTTGGAAGTGACCTTCCTTTCCACACTCAAACAAGCATTGTTTGAGTTGTTTTCCTTTCTACTTGGGTCGTTGCCCCTTCTTCTCCTTTTGTTGAACTTCTTGTTGAAGAACTTGGTGAACGACTTGTTAAACTTTTTCACGAACATTGTCATTTCATCGTCTTCATCGGTGCTTGATTCACTTGATGAAGTATCAGTACTTTCTTACTTTGCTTGGATTGGGAAGAAGAAACTTTTAGAACTATACTCTTTGAATTTTTCCTGTTAAGCTCACGGTTAGCCCTTTTATTTAATTCCAACTCGTACTCCTGAAGCTTTCCAAATAAGGTAGCAATGGACATTGTGGAGAGATCTTTAGCTTCATAGATTGCCGAAGACTTTGCATCCCATTCCTTAGTAAGACATCTTAAAATTTTGTTAACTAACAATTCATCATCATGAAAAATATTTAAAGCATTCATTGATGTAACTATATGCATGAAACGTTTTTGCATGTCAAATATAGACTCACCCTCATACATCTCAAAGAGCTCAAACTCTATAGATAATGCATTTTGTTTAGAACGCTTTACTTCACTAGTACCTTCATGGGTTGTTTCTAAAATAAGCCACATCTTATGTGCGGTCTTACATGAAGATACTCAGTAGTATTCATCCTTACCAAGTGCATTAACTATTAAGTTCTTTGCTTTTGACTTGTATTGGACACTCTCTAATTCTGCTCTAGTAAACTCTGTGTATTTTTTAAGTACACTTTTACCATTGTCATCTAGTCTAGTTGGAGGTTGATATCCTTCCTCTACACTATACCAAATTTTAAGATCTACCGACTCAAGAAAAATCTGCATCCTTGTTTTCCAGTAGGGATAATCAATCCCATTGAAAAACGGAGGGCGATAGGTGGAACCACCCTCAAGAGGAATATCCTGATGGAAAGAAGCCATAAGATCTTTAACTCTTTGGCAATGGCCAATCACTCAGAGCACGAAGCTCTGATACCACTTGTTGGGCAAGTGGCTTCTTACACAGGACGCTTACGGAACACCTAGAGGGGGATGAATAGGTGTTCTAAACTTTTTCAAAAACTTTTTGAATTCAGTAAACAATTACACAATTTTTCTTCAAGAAAATATGTAGCCACCACAAACAAACGAGGAACCAGATCTTTCTCCAAAAAGATGATGAAAATAGAGATGTGAGAAGGAGAGTAGAATCAGCGTTTATGAAAATTAGAACCAGTGTTTCTTGAATGATGAACTCGATTAGCTAGAGAAAATGAGCGCTGTGTTTTTCCTCTCTCTTTATTTCTTCTTCTTTCAAGATGGTTGTTAACAAGAGAGTGTGCTCTGTGCTCAGCGTTACTGACGAAGATTAAAATTGAATTGGTAAAGTGAATTCCCTTTTTGTTTATTAATATCTTTTTATATTGCTTACTATCTTCTTAAGAGAACCCACGTGACGTGAACTTTTTGTATAACTTTTCGTATATCTTTTTAATTTTTTAACTCAAAACGACGTCATTTTGGGAGTGAATGTAGATAACTTATCTACATTTACTGTAGAAACGTTAAGCCTATATTTTTTATCAGGTTTTAGAATAATTATTAAAAAGATAATATAGAATAATATATTAAAACTCAAGCATTAAGAAATTCATGATCTGACCTTCAACGAAACATTCAAATGGTAAATCAATAGCTCTCTCTCTCTTTGGATTTCTTCCCTCAGTAATCTCGTAAGTTTCCTATGAATTAATTCGAAGTTTGGGATGAGTATAACATTAATACTTTAAATCTCTTCCAGAGATGATACTGTGGAGGATTGAACACACACTCTCACTCCCACGTGTTCGGCTCTCAGGTGTCAACTGAACTATCATCATTTAGTGGTAAATCTCTGTTTATTGTGGTAATCATTTTTTATATCATTTTTATTATATTATTCCTATACAATAATAAAACATACATTTTAAATTTTTGTTTTCACATTTTCTTAAACGACCAAAGTAATAATATGGTATAAGTATTTTGATGTTAAAATATCATGCATTTTCCTTACTCCGAAACCTTGCTCTCAACACATATTACTTCAGACTCTAACTTCACCATGCAGGCGTTACAACATGACACAATGCCAGATATCAGTCAATCAATTCAAAATTGAAAATCCCACGCGTATGATTTGTTTACGTACGTAGTGATATCACGCATCATCTATATACGACAAAACAGAAGAAGCTTAAATTAAAAGAATACGTTAAATGAATATATTTGTAACAAAATATTATAAAATAATATAGGATGTCTGATTATCGTTTATATGACTTGATCAAAGTCAAGAGAACTAAGCAACTGACCGATGTGCACCCAACATAGATTAATATTTGAATATAAATTAGTTAACATGGTAAAGACGTAAAAAAATGAAACGGAGGTAACGGTCTAACGGAATGTAGCCAAAAAGCAAAATGAAATGTCTTAATTGGTAAACGACCGCCAATGCATAATGCAATCGATGTGAGACAGAAGCACGACTAAATAACTACGTAACCGGTAACTCGAGAAAGAGGACGTACTCTATCGTAGCACCGACACTTCAAAAACCCTGACATGTTGTGTTTGACATTTCTCGACACTCTCGGACACTCCGACACTCCCCAACACGCGTTATAGAAATTCAAAAAAAGGTTCAAAGATTGATTTGCGTTGAGTTTTTAGTTCCAACTATTAAATTTGTTGGATTACGATTATCATTTTATTGAGTTTAATATAAATATTTGAGATATGTTATGTTTCTTTACAAAATTTATGAATATTATAAGTTTAAATTTATTTTTTTGTTAAATTATTGAATATTAAATATAATATACACTACATAAACTAAAAATATTATTTAATATCAAAACGTGTCCTAACGTGTCCTAATCTATCATTTTTTAGAATTAAACGTGTCGTGTCACGTGTCTCGTGTCGGTATCGGTACTATATAGGATGTACTAAATACAAAACTCACCTATTGAGAGGGAAATGTCCATTTTTTTTTTGGGGGGGGGTAAGCGGAAATGTCCATTTAATTAGGGCATAAAACGCAAGCGTTTTTTTACTGGAAATATAAAATAATTATGTATTCAATAAGAATAAGGAGCCATCCAAAAGGACCTAAACAATGAAGCTGAAGTAACCAAGGAAAAAAGTTAATTATATTAAACCAAAATTTTAGGATGTTTGCACTTTTCATATCATATGCATTTTTTTTCTTTATGGTATAATAGTGAGAATTGAACACATAATATAATATAAATCACTCGAACCTCTCTGAACTAGATCAACCTGACTTTATCATAGGCATTGCTGATTATTCAAGTTGCAGTATAATACAACTTTTGTTGACCCATTCAGTGGGGTATTGTTACCAGGTCACTCTAATATGCAACGAGCGGATCCATTCTAATACACTTTTCTATATTTTTAATAGCCTACTTGGCTCATATCCTTTTGTTAATTAACATCCCAGTTTGACGTAGACACAGAAAATCATTATTATAACACTATGGTAAGGAAAAAAATTAAAAAAATTGATATATCCGACCAATTAAATATGAAGATAGACTAATTCATTGGAGATATTTCAATTGCACGAGAAAGCAGAGACGGAGTTGAAGTTCGAAACCTTAATAAAGAAGAGAAGAATCATTGAGCTTGGGGCAATGACGCAGCTAGTGAGGTTCTAACCGTGGTGGTCTATTGCTGGTTGAAAAAATAAAATAAAGAAGAGAAGAGTATACGTATACGCCAAACTATTTACGTTGTAAGAAAACAGTATGTAATTCTGGTTGAGGAGGACGAGTTCATAAGCTCGACTTTATTTTTGAACGTTGTGCATTGATTTAGGGCAACTGTACAGTGTACCCCCCTGACCACTGTGGTCTGTGGCCGTTGACTCTATATCCTACAACATAACTCTTTTGGTCTTTAATGCTGATACCAAATACGTACATGCATTAATGAGCTGACCAAGTTATCATCGAACCCAAAACTCAAATTTTACATTTATATTTATTTTAGTATTCATTTTTTTTACTGTAGATAATTTATCTATATTAAATATAAAATGACATAGTTTTGAGACAGAAATCAAGTTATTTTTGTAATTATAATTTATTTTAGAATTATGATAGTATTTTTTTTTATAATTTTTTAATTTTTTAACTTAAAACGACATCATTTTAAAAGCAAATTTAAATAACTTATCTACATTCACTTATTCATTTACAGTAGAAAAACTAAAGCCTTATATTTAACAATGATTTTAAAATTATAGGTAATTGATTTTATATCATCGAATACATGATAACCAAGTAGATATTTTTAAGTTACAAAAAAATAAAGTAAATATTTTTATAATAAAGTATTGAATCAATAAATAAATAAACAAATTAATATTAGTCTTTATAATTGTTCTGGGGCCATAAAAGGCAGAATGATCCAAATGCTCTTATTTAATTTTTTTGTTGTTGCCAAAATACCTCATTTTAGAATTTACTCATCAATTTATTTTACTTTGATCAAAGTTGATCGTATATGGCTCCACCTAAAACTCCTTTCCTTATTATCAAAAAAAAAAAACAAAACTCTTTTCCTTCAATTGTTGTTATATGTATTTTTTTCTGACATAATTTTTTAATTTTTATATTATTTTGTTTCCCGAAAAAAAAAATTAGAGAATGAAAATCTAGAAAATTAATTTGACGACAATTTCCATCCTCTTTCGTTCTTTACGGTTGGCAACTGTTAGATTCAGGATAACCTCCCAACGTTTTGATTAATCTTGTGGCTTCTTGGTTGGTGTTGCCGCTGGAGTCAAAAGCGACAGAGGCAAAAAAACAAATAACCCTTCTCAATGTTCTCATAGTTCCGTGTATGCTTTTTACTCTGTAGTCTAACAGCTAGAAACTCCCACCTCAGCCATTAATTACGCTCCCAAGACACGGTCAACCATAGTTGGAGTCAAACTATGTCTATATAAGCACACCCTTCTCTCTCTCGGTTCTCTCAAAAACCCCCCATATACAATACAACAACAAACTTAGTTCACTTATTCTCTTCGCTTCTGGGCTTATTTTCACTCCTTTTGAAAGTTACACAAACTCAAACAGAAAAACAGGGATCAAAGTATACAAAAAGGGATATAATAATTACTTTGCTGAACTAATATGCCAAGAAAAGGAATGAGAAGCATCTTCTTCAAACAATCACCTCCTCCACCCACATCATCACTCCCACCTTTAATTGACGAAAACATCAAAACCGCAGAGTCTCTCATAACCAAATGGGATTATTCCACACCCAACCAATCCATAATCACTCCTCTTTTTAGCGGCACACGCGACGAAGCCAAACAGTACCTTAACGCCGTCAAGGGACTACAATCCGCTATGCAGAACCTGGCCGCACACGATCCCACCTCCAACACCCTTGTTAGAGCACATTTGTTGATGCAAGTCGCAATGAAGACGCTCGAGAAAGAGTTCTACCAGATATTATCCGCAAACAGAGATCACTTGGATCCCGAAACCGTCTCCAACCGTTCCTCCACCGATCGCGGAAGCAGCGTTTCTGATTTCGACGACGAATTCTCCGAGGACGAGTTTCGCGTTTCCGAAACGGAGAGGGTTTCCATGCTCGCCATGGCGGATTTGAAGGCAATTGCGGAATCCATGATTTTTTCCGGCTACGGAAAAGAGTGCGTCAAGGTTTACATCACCATGAGAAAATCGATCGTGGACGAGGCACTGTATCATCTTGGAGTAGAACGGTTGAGCTTCTCTCAGGTCCAGAAGATGGACTCGAAAGTGCTCGAGTTGAAAATTAAGAGCTGGTTGAACGCCGTCAAAGTCGCCGTCGGGACTCTGTTTAACGGCGAGAGAATCCTCTGCGATCACGTCTTCGCTGCGGCTTCGGAGAAGAGAATCGCGGAGTCTTGCTTCGCCGAGATTACAAAAGATGGCGCCGCGTCGCTGTTTGGATTCCCGGAAATGGTGGCAAAGTGCAAGAAAACGCCAGAGAAAATGTTCAGGACTCTGGATTTGTACGAAGCAATTTCCGACAACTGGCTACAAATTGAATCAATCTTCTCGTTCGAATCAACCTCAAATGTTCGCTCACAAGCAGTTACGTCTCAGGTGAAGCTCGGCGAGGCCGTTCGGATGATGTTATCTGACTTCGAATCGGCGATTCAGAAGGACACCTCCAAGACGGCGTTGCCAGGCGGTGGGGTCCACCCTCTCACGCGCTACGTGATGAACTACATCACTTTCCTCGCCGATTACAGCGGCATACTCGCTGACATCGTCGCTGATTGTCCGCAATCTCCGTTGCCGGAGTCTTACTATCGCAGCCCGACGCACGAGGAAAATCCGTCTTCGTCCGATATATCGGAGAAGATCGCGTGGCTTATACTCGTCGTGCTCTGCAAGCTTGATGGAAAAGCAGAACTCTACAAGGACATAGCGCTTTCCTACTTGTTCCTTGCCAATAACATGCAATACGTCGTCGTTAAGGTCCGCAAATCCAACCTAGGGTTCGTTCTCGGAGAGGATTGGTTGGCGACGCACGAATTGAAGGTTAGAGAGTACGTTTCCAAGTATGAGCGCCTAGGGTGGAGCTCCGTGTTGTCGTCGCTGCCGGAAAATCCCAAGGCGGAGTTGCCGGCGGAACAAGCCAGGGCTTGCTTCGTTAGCTTCAACGCAGCGTTTCATGAAGTTTGCAGGAAACAGTCCTCGTGGACCGTATCCGACTCGAAACTGCGAGACCAAATCAAAGTCTCGATAGCTTCGAAACTGGTTCCCAAGTACAGTGAATTCTACGAGAAGAATCGGGTCGGGTCGGATCAAGTTGTAAGAGTTTTACCCGATGAAATAGGGAATAATTTGTCTGACATTTTGTATGGGATTGGAGATTCGGGTAGCGTCTCGTCACATTCTTCGTCGACGACGTCGTCTCCGCGTCGCTCCAATCGCCGGTGATGTTGGAGGTCATTGATGACGTCACGACTAACCGTTTTTTTTTTTTTTTTTTAATTATGGGTAGATAAAAACGACAAGATTGAGTTTTCATACGTGTTTACATGCGTGTGTTATATGATTTTATTGTTTTAAGGGAAGTGTGATTTTCTAGAGAAATCAGGGAAATATTCCATCATTTTTTTTGATACATCCAGTAATCGAATACACAATTTATTACATTAACTACCCACGTACTTTACTACCAGACGACTAACACTAGTGGCTTAATATTTCATCATTTCATAAGCAATAAACATGACCAAAAGAACGTGAAGCGGTAAATGAAAATGAAAAACAAGCTGAAGAAGTTAGTGAGCAAAATACCTAATGGGTGCAGCTCAGTTGGTAATTTGGCGTTGAGTTAGTGGGATTGGATATGTGTTCGATTCGCGCTGAATGCATTCTTGGGGAGGGGGCTGAACCTTTAGCCATCACTGTTCCCCGCACTCCGGATTAGTCCCATAGCCGGCTCAAAGAGTCGAAGCTCGTGGGGATACCGGAGGGAGTCAACTCGTCTCAAAGAGATAATTAGAGTTAGATAACTCCAAAAAATAAAATAAAATTAATGAGCAAAATCCGATGCAAACAACAATTTCGTCCCAACACTACACACCTCGGGAAGGGAAGGTCTCCAAAGGATACAAGAAAAAAAAACAAATAATTTAACCAGAAATAAATCAAATAAAAGGAGACAAAAAAATGGGCTGGCAAGCACCCCAAAAAAAAAAACATGCATGTACAACATTGATAAATGGGAAGAAGAATGGCCATAATAGTGCAATTCAAAGAAATCTCGAGGGTATAATGAAAAGATAAAATTGATATAATAGTGCAATGCATCGTATATTCATATCTACGGATGACATTTGTATATATCATCGAGAAGAGGGATTATTCGTTATCATTTCAAAATTTAAATGAAAATTCCCGATTTCATACAAATATTCACATATTTGAAGTGGGAAAGACTATAATGGAAACCCATTCAATTTCAAGTAGCTAGTGAACCCTATAGGAACATATTGTGCAGATCTTAATGCAAATGGATAGTGAAGATAATACAATAACACAAATGGTATTTCAATAAAATTTGCATTATTTTATCCAATAATTATGCATATTAAACGGCAAATATATCTCAACATTTTTAGTCATATGAATTTTCCATTAAATAGTTAACAATACAAATAAGTGTCATATAACTTACTCATTTGAAGTTTGTTTATAGTATCCCTCAATCTATATCATATGCACCCGGGAAAACAAATATTATCATCATGTGAGACGATTTCAATTGTCTATAGATAAATAAATAATTATTGTTTTTTCACTTTTTTCCTTAATGCATTCTTCATAACCATTAATTTATATCCGTACGATTGATATTATCTAAAATGAATTCATATCATATGAAATAGCCTATTCCATAGGGTGATTGGCAATTGTGCCCCTTATTAAATTAAAAATTATCATTTTGCCTTGTCCTAAAACTTTGCACCAATCTATCCTTGTTTAACCATTAATTGGACAGAGTAATTGATTGCATGAATTATGAATCGATTATTTTACGTGTCAATAAAATAATCGATTACAACCTTTATGTAATTGATTAACTTGCACGAAAAAAAAACACGATAATGCTCCAGTAATGGCGTTGAAAACAACCAATAGGATTCCTCGAAAAACTCCAAAAGTACCCCAGCTAACAAGGAGAAGAAGATTGTTCCTGGAATCATAAAATCCTGCATGAAGATGTATACGGAGCAGTATCCAAAGAATGAACTGTGGAGGATGATTTATTGCATATCTTGAAAAATGATCTCTACATAAGAAAAAAAAAACCCACACACAAGAAGTACTATCCAAATTTAAACCATAAAAAATGAGAAAATAATGTGAATGAAAAGCGAAAGTTCCGAATCTTTTGCTTAGGAATTTAAAATAACTGTAATTTTTTGGTCAGCAATTTTCCCTCATCAGGCTCGACAGTAACCAATGGCGAAAACTCAAAAATCAATGGTTTTAGCTCGACTTGGAGAAAACAAGAACAATCGCCTTCTGTGCTGTGGAATATCTTTATTCAGGATTTTGCTAAAACCGAAGTGACCAAAACATGAAAAATTAAAAAGAACAATACTAATAATGATACACACACAAGAATACAAGACACAGAACAAAAGCAAAAGCAAAAAAATATATATCATATTTTTGAATACACCTTCTTTGTTAGAAGTAGACCTCCCTCTTTTTTCCAAGAACCCTCTCCCCTTTCTTATGTCCTCTTTGCCCAGAACTTTTTTAGCTCTCTGAAAAGTCCCTTTTTTATTTTTCTCCAAAGCTCCCTCCATATAAAACAACCGAGCCCCCCCTTCAATGTCTTGCAGCTCCCCTTATTAAAAAAAAGCTTTGGTTCCTTCCTTTGGTATCTCTTCTATTCCTTTTTCTTAAGGGGCCGTTTGTTAGAAGGATTTTTTTAGGATTCTCGGGAAACTGACGTTTGGTACAAGATTTTTAAAATTTTTAGAGGATTTTATTTTGTGTGTAAATTTCTTTGGAAAAATCATCCAGAAATACCATTCAAAAGGTGGTATTTTAGGATTTTTATGACAAAGGAAAATTTAATACAACTAAACATAGCATCGAGAAAATTAACTCAATATTCTCGGGAATATATTAGTCTACCAAACAACTTTTTTATAATATTTCCAGAAAACTCATTTTCTTATCATATTTCTGAAAATCGTGATTCCCAGATAAAAAAAATTTCTCCTCTACCAAACGTCCCATAAGCTTCTTCTCTGTTTTCTTCTGGGTGCCTCTATTTTTGGGTGTTGAAATCGATTATCTATATTGGTGTAATCGATTACAAATATTTTGTTTTTAGACATGAAATTACAATTACCAAGAATATGCGTGAAGGTGAATTTTTTGAGAATGTGATCAAAAAATTATTTGGTAAGCTAAAATATTACCGAGAATATTAACTAAGTTTACTAATTCTATACATGGTTGATTGTCAAATATTACTAGAAACGTGAGGTAATTTTACAAAAATAACTCCACCTTTGATCTTTTCTTCAAGCACGATTTACCTATTCGTTGGGTTTTCTACACAGAGGTTTGTTCCCTGGGTTTTCTTTACCCACCTTCGTTCAAACAAGACTTTTTGGTTCCTTTGTGTTTTATTCATCCTCTATCATAAGGTTTAAAACGTTGCCTCAGCTTTAGGTCTCAAGATTTGGTGGAACAACTCGTTTCTCTCTCTCTCTCTCTCTCTCTCTCTCTCTCTTTCTGTGTGTGTGTTTTCTGCCAAAGGTGTCAGAGCAACCATTGAAAAGGAAAAGGGATTCTTTTCACTATTGAAAGCTTCTGTTTTTTTTCTTCAGGTGCTTCATTAAAACGTCGGATTTCTTAATTTTCTGTTTTCAACATTGTTTTCACTTCAATTTAGATGAGTCTTCTAAAATTTCTTCTGCCGATTTGAATTTATAGGAATCAGATGTTTTGAGATTTCCTTTGGTTCAGGCAAATATTGGTTCCTCATCAAGGAGGGTGAAGCACAAATGGCATAGTAGGGAAGAGAGGAAGATAGGTAGGGAACATGATGTTGTTTTGGTTCCATCTGATGGTGGATGGGTTTTTGGATATGGACGAGATTATAGTATAATGATAGAAGATAACTGGGTTAATTTTGTCATTTTTTAAGTGTGATATTTTCTCATATCTCGAGAATCTAGGTATACCACCCTCCTGGTGATATTTTTGGATGACATTTTTCCTCACAATTTGTTCTCAAATCAAAATTCTGAAAAAATCAGATTTTCGAAAAAAAAAAATTCACAAACCTTATACCAAACGATGACAAATGAGATTTTTAATATCAGTTTTCCAAGAATCTAAAAAGATACCCTCTACCGAACTCCTTCCCAAAGGTTTTATATTATCAAACTAGCGTAGGATATCTAACTATGAGCTCAACTCATTGGTGAATTTGATGTCTGAATCGACCGATAAGAATTGTTTAGTTGAACGTCTCGTTGCAAAAAAGAGAATTGGGTAGTCTAATTAGGAGAAGAGAAATGATGCTGAATAAACAATATAGTTATAAACTTAAAATTTTAAGAAAATTGTTAAATTTATATAGATTTGATTTGATTTTTTATAAGTAAAGTGATATAATTTAACCAATTTTCATCATGCGGGTCCCACAAATGTGACAGAAGTATTAGAAGTGAGAATAGGGTGATGGTATATAACACGTTTATACAAAAGTAATTAAATTATATCACTTTAATAAATAATTTTTAAACATGGAACTATAGACAATAAAAACCCACAAAAGTTAATGGCTTTTGTTGTATAAGAATTCTAAAAATCTAATGATAAAGAATGCTGGAATTAAAGTAAGGCAGAAACTTATTAAAAAAATATATGTTTAAAATATCTCCAAATGTGGAGGGATAAATTATTCTAATATAATACTAATAGATATGTATAGCTAAAGTAGTTTATTCTGTTATAGTAGTTATTCTGTTATTTCCTTTATTTCTCAACTGATGCCTTCTGCTATAAATAGCAGCATCATCTTGTATCTCAATCAATCAATCTGTATTCAAGAAGCACTCTTTCCTTTCTCCTTTATTGTTTTCATTCACACCGTGTGTGAGTTTCTCTTTCTCTTCAACCAAGGTCTGATACCTCACATGGTATCAGAGCATATTTCGATCCATGGAGTCTCCTCAATCGTCTCCAACATCTACTACAAGCACTGAAAAAGCAAAAGCAGCAAAGCTGATCATGAAAACTTTCTCAAATCCCATTACTGACAAACTTGATGAAGAAAGCTTTCTTCCATGGGAACAACTAGCTCTTGCATCAATCCATGGGCACAACCTACAAGATCATCTCAACAAAGATAAGATTCCAGCTCAATTTTCAACTCAAGAAGATCAAGAAAATGCTAAAGAATCAA